CATGTCAGAGGTGGCGCAGGACGTTGGGAGTTGTCAGAGGTAGTTATCACCATCACCCAATAAATTGTCGACACGTGTTTCCCCAGTACATGGGGTAAATATTCTCTGGAGATTTCAGTTAGAGGCTCCCATGCGCGCCTATGATACACGCGCCCATAACTAGGTCGATTACGAATTCCTCGAAGCGATCACCCTGCTGGGATCGACTAGCTTGCTCAATCAAACTATAACTCTAAGAAAGCAATAAAATATTAAGTATCCTAATTAAGCTAGATATCATTGTGCAAGATGGAAACTAAATAACTTGGCTTGCACTCCAAGGGATCTTCTTTCTCTCTCTCTTTCTCTCCTTCGCACGCGTCGCCTCCAACCGCCTTAGGTGTGCGCCGCCTCACGGCTTGCCTAAGCCCGCGAGGACTAGCCCCGCGCGTCTGTTCCTTTGCACGTATTGCGCACGCTCTCGTCTTCGGCCGTCTCATCGCGCGCGTACAACCCCGACAATCCGCACTCCTCGAGGATTGGGGTCGCGCGCCTCATGCCGCATGCCTCAAGGACTGGGGCGTCCTACCCCGCGCGTGCTGGGATGCTTCGCGCGCCTCGCGTGCATTCACCTTGCGCATCCGTCCCGCGCGCGTCGTGCGCCGCCGCCCGTGCGTATCCGCCTGTGCCCATCTTCCGCATATCCGCGCGTTGGCCACCCATACTCGCCCCGCGCGCACCACACTCCAGTGCGCGCACTTTGGCTGCTTCTCGTGCTAACCTCTTGCGTGCGTGGTAAGCGCGACTCGCGGCATTCTTGAGCTGCCTAGCCACTTCCGCATCATTCCCGTCCCCTTCAAGCGCTTCCTTGTCCTCAAGGATGAAATTTGGGAATTGATCGCGCACCTCATCAAGATCTTCCCAGGTGGCCTCTTCGGTTGGCAACTCCTCCCAATCGACTAGTACTTCCCAACGATAACGTCTAGCCTTCCTTACCTTGCAATACTCAATCGCTCGTTTTGGGCGTACGATGATCCTTCTATCGGTTGCAGTGGCAGGCAATTCCTCACAATACTTCTGGGCTTCTCCTAGACTTCTCTTGAGCTGTGAGACATGGATAACCGGGTGGATCTACGAACTTTATGGCAGTTCTAGACGATAAGCTACCTGACTAATGCGCTTCAAAATCTGATAAGGCCTATAATAGCGCACTCCCAACTTGGTTGCTGCTCTTTGTGCTGTTGTGCGCTGCCTGAATGGTCGTAGCTTCAGATAAACATACTCTCCTGGTACAAAGTTTTCCTCACGTCATCTACCATCTGCGAAGGCTTTGGTACGCTTAATTGAGCCTTCAAGGTTTTTTTTAATTCTCGCAACATCAGATCTCGTTCCTCGAGCTCTCGACCAACTTCATCGTTGACTGTACTCCCCTCCGAATAGTTGATCAATGTCGGGGGTTTTCGCCCGTATACCAGCTCAAACGGCGTCATCTTGGTCGACTCGTGGTAAGTGGTGTTATACCAATACTCAGCCCAAGGAAAAAAGTTTTCCCACCTCTTCGGAAATTGATGGACGTAGCACCTCAAGTACTGCTTAAGAGTTCAGTTGGTTACCTCAGTCTGTCCGTCTGTCTGTGGGTGGTTGGCTGAACTCATAGATAACTTGGTCCCTTGTAATTTAAAGAATTCAGACCAAAAGCTGCTCATAAAAATCAGGTCTCGATCAGAAACAATGGATCGTGGTGCCCCATGCAGTTTCATCACGTACTCCACAAATAATCTGCCAATCGACTTTGCAGTGTAAGGATGAGTGATGGGTATGAAGTGAGCATACTTTGTGAGACGATCCACCACGACCATAACACCGTCGAATCCATTAGAACTTGGTAACCCTTCTATGAAATCCATGGTAATATCTTCCCAGACTGCCTCGGGTACCGGTAGAGGTTGCAGCAGCCCGCTCGGCCGTCGTGAGTCAGCCTTAGTGTGTTGACAGTCGTCGCACCGTGCTATGTAATCTCGGACGGTATTCTGCTGCCCTGGCCAGAAGAAAGTATTGGCTATTCTCATCCATGTGCGGTAGATACCCGAGTGACCTCCAATCTTAGAATCGTGGAAGTGTTGCATGATTTGCTCGCGTAACTGTCCACTGTCGGGTACGAATACTCGACCTCGGTATAGAAGTAGGCCATTGTGCAACTCATAGTCAATAGCAGTCGTCTTGCCTGCTTCGATTGCTTGGCGCCAGTCTTGGCAATAGGTGTCCTCCTCTTGCGCCTTCCTGACTTCCTCCCAAATAGCCCAAGTCTGCCCAGTAATAGCATTAAGCTCAGCTACATCTGTCCGTCTAGATAATGCATCAGCTACTGCATTCTGTCGGCCTGGCCGGTAAACTATCTCAAAGTCAAACCCCATACGTTTCGACATGAACTTCTGCTGCTCGGGGGTAACAATCCTTTGCTCGAGTAGATGCTTGAGCGGCTGCTGGTCGGTCACAATCCAAAAGCGTCGCCCCAATAGATAAGGCCTCCATCATCTTACCGCCTCAACAACTGCTAGCATCTCTTTCACGTACACAGATAGACGTAGTCGAGTTGTGCCTAGTGCCTTGCTGAGATAGGCTAGGGGTCGCCCTTCTTGCACTAGCACAGCTCCAATACCAATGTCGCTTGCATCTGTGTGTACCTCGAACAAGACATCAAACCTTGGCATGGCGAGCACTGGCGTTGTAGTCATGGCGATTGTTAGTTTCCCAAACGCCTCCTCGCTAACTTCGGTCCATGTGAACCCGCCTTTCTTAGTCATCTCGGTCAGTGGCTTGGAGATGGTTCCATAATCCTTCACAAACTTTCTGTAATAGCCTGTAAGTCCTAAAAATCCCCTCAACTGCGTCAGACTTGTCGGTTTAGGCCAGTCGACCATAGTCTCAATCTTTCGTGGATCAACCTTCACGCCTTCGTGAGATATGAAATGCCCTAGATACTCAACCACTTTTTGCCCGAATGAACACTTGGATGGCTTGATGTGAAATGAGTTTGCCTCCAAGATTTCGAGCACCACTCTCAAATGCTCAAGATGTTCATCCCACGACTTTGAATAAATCAGGATATCATCAAAGAATACCAGGACGAACTTACGCAGATACTCCTTGAAGATGGAATTCATAGCAAACTGGAAAGTGGATGGGGCGTTGCACAGTCCGAATGGCATAACCAAATACTCGTAGTGCCCCTGGTGCGTACGAAATGTTGTCTTCGGGATGTCGGCCTTGTGGAGTCGAATCTGTTGATAGCCAGCTCTCAGGTCGAGCTTTGAGAAATAGCATGATCCAACTAACTCGTCTAGCATGTCGTCGACACTAGGAATAGGAAATCGATCCTTGATAGTCGCGGCATTCAGAGATCGGTAGTCAGTACAAAACCTCCACGTGCCATCTTTCTTTTTAGCTAATAGTACTGGAGAAGAAAACGGACTCTTGCTATGCTGGATTAAGCCTGACTCTAGCTTCTCGGCCACTTGCCGTTCGATCTCAGTTTTCTGAAAGTGGGCGTACCTATAAGGGTGGATGTGTATGGCATGTTGCTCATTGATCAGCGGTATGCGATGATCGAACTCTTGGTGTGGTGGTAGTCCCTTAGGTTCGCCCAGTACTCCCTCAAACTCCTCGAGAAGATTGCGCACATCTCCGTGCTATTGCTCGTCCTGGTCTATGTGCGCCTCAGTGTTTTTGACTACTACTGCAAAGATTTGGCCGCCACCTCGCCAAACTCTTTCGATGCTTTTCAGCCCTACTTCCTTGGTACCTTTTTCGTTGCCCGTTCTCAGAGTGACTTGTCGACCTCCAGAGTTGAACTCCATAATTCCTGTTCGATAGTCGGTAGTCACCTTGCCTAATCCTTCGAGCCACTGCACTCCTAGAACAACATCCTGTCCAACCAAAGGTAAGGCATAAAGGTCAGCCTTAACAGTAACTCCGTTAAACTTGATTGGCACCTTCCGGAATGACTCAGTACATTGTAGCCTTTCTCCATTGGCCACTCGAACTTCAAAGGGCTCGATTTTTGTGGTTGGCAATTTCAACTTTTGAGACAAATCAGCATTAATGAAATTATGTGACGAACCGTTGTCTACAAGTACGATTACCCTTCGATCCTTGACCCATGCTGGTAGTCGCATCGTTCTTGGTCCTCTGATTCCAGCCATTGCATGCATCAAAATTTCCGGCTCCTCATTGAATGCCTCAATCTCATCCTCCTGATGTGGTTCCTCCTCGACCTCAGCTTCCTCATCATCGGAGTTGGCCACCTCAATTACAAAGGCCTGTTTGCATTGATGACCGGGGGTAAACTTCTCCTCGCACTTAAAACAGAGGCCTTTCTCACGTC